ACTGTTTTCTTAATATAGCCCAGCCCACAACTCCGCAGCCATAGTAGTCTAATACTATGCTCACTCACAGAGCCCAAGCGAAGCCGACGCGAAGGAACGTTACAGACAGACACGTCGGACGGAGACACGATCCAACGGGGCAGGGACGAACCAGCCGCGCATTGACAAGTCATCGACACCGTGGCACCTCCGCAGACAGGTGTCCCTCTCCCGCGCGCCGACGGGTCGCAGTTAGTGGAGGCTCCACTGGGCCGTATCATGTCGACCATATTTTTGAACTTATATTATTTAGTCGCTAATGATGAGCGTGAGTGCGGTTTGGCGCCTGTCCGGCCTTCGTTTCAGCGAGTCGCTACCGGCGCATTTTGGTCTTACAAAAGTCTTGCTTAAGCACGCAATCTCTGGGTGTTTGTTGAGCTCACGTCTTCATCTTGTGTACTTAATAACTTTGTGCCCCCACTTTGCATTGATCACTTACAACAGTGCTCATCTTGTGTACTTAATATTTATTGCTGAGGTTTTTACAGTTCAATCAATCTGAAAAATAGAGACTATGCTGTCAATCTAAATATGAAGCACGTAAAAAAAATCGTGTGGGTATGAGGCACTTCCTGTTGCAATATCAGATTCTTAATTGTAGTCAAAGAAAAAGCTTTGTCAATCAATGAACTATGCCGCCCAAGTGCATGGGTTCATCAGGTGTCTAGTGAGGTGTATCTTATTGTAACACCCTCGGTGTTACACCGTAAATCATCTACTAAAACATGTCATGAGCATCATATTTGTGTGTTAATGCATGTGGTGAAATGAGTAGATGAAGTGTCGTAACGTAGAAGGATCAATAGAATGTTAATCGAAAAGTTATTCCATGATTCGCCTAATTATCAAGTAGGGTTGTAAACCAATTTTTATTGAGCAAAAGTATTATAAAACATATGTGTGGCACCTTAATAAAGTTTGAGGTACAAACTTTATAGATGATAATGCAACTCTTGCTTTAGAAAAATAATACTTCTAGCTAGCATTGGTAATAGTTTGGAAATTGAATTCGAAATTAAATCTACCTTCAAACTCTAGAATTTCTGTGTCTAGTAATGTAAAGGCAATGCTATCTTTGAGAGTTAATTCATGTTAATTTGGCTAAAAGAGGGTACCATGTTTTGGCATTAGTTGATAGCCCTATAGATCACCTATGTCATGGTTTGGATGGGGGAAACCTAAATTGAGTTATGTTAGTTTTTATACACGCCTTAAATTTCGTGCGTAGTAGCTTTGGGCCTGCTTGGCCTGGCTTTGGCCGACCTTGGCCAGCTGCTGGCCGCTGGCCGGGCCAGCCCTGGCCGTTGCTGCCCTGTGCGTGCCCTGTCACCCTCTTCCCTCGTTGCGATGCTGCTGCTGCCTCTGCCTCCACGCCACCCCCGCCGCTGTAGCTCTGGCCGCTCCTGCGCGTGTGGCTGCTCGCTGCCATCGTGCCCGCCGGTCTGTGGGTGTTGCCACGCACGCATGTGCGCCCTCACTACAATGGCACATGGTCGTGTTGGCCGCTGTTGCGCTTCCGCGTGCACCACGTCGTCGCCTAGTCACAGCTCCCCCAACCACCCGCCTTAAACTCGTGCCGTGCCGAGATGAGCCACCCCCTCCTTTCCTGTTCCTTTGTCGCACTCGCCGTCGTGTCGCTGCAGCCATTCGGCAGGGCGAGGTCACCTCTGCCTATTGCCTGGCGCCTCTGACCCCACCTTGAAGTCCTCTGTCCGCCCAGTCGCGTCTCACCTTGATTCGGGAAGCCGTCAAGCCGAATCGGAGCTTTCCCCTTCGCCGACCATCTTATGGCCGATTTGGGGTCGCCCCGAATTACTCCCTCCACGCAGCCTCCTCGGTTCTTCCAGTTACGCCACTAGCATCCCCTTCACAGCGCTCACTCCCACTCAGCCGCTGTTGTAGCCCCGCGCCACCGTCGCTGGCGTGCTCACCGCGGAGAGCCACCGCGACCGTCCGGTCGTTCGTGGCTGGCCCGTCATAGCCTTCCTCCGTTTCAACCGACCCTACGGCTAGGTCCGTAGTAAGTTCCTGTTGCTCATGCGCCAGACGGTTGATCTCGTAGTGGTCTTGTGTCGCCGGAGTGGCTACGTCGCCATCACGGGCGGCTGCGTGCTGTGGCTGCACTCGCCTATGAGTCCCCAGTGCTCCCGCGGCCGCTTAGTGTTGCCGGTTAGGTCTAGGGTGGTGGTCGGCCCGCTGGATGGGACGGCGTGCGTCTCTGGTGGTCGGCGTGGCTGCCTGTGCCGCCGTGCACCGCACCGCCGCGTGCTCTGTCCCTTTGGACATCTGCGTGGAAATTCGATTAAGTGCAGGGGGTAAGTAAAGAGTGTTAGTGAGGGTAGGGAATAGCGCTAGGACCTGGGTGTGGTTTTGGGAAAATGTAGGGTCTCTTTTGTAAGATCGTCGGCGAGTGCGGGCTCCTTTGCCACGGGTCGCTTTCACACGCGGGCCGAGCCTGTGTTGGGCCGCGCTGGGCCCTTTTGCCTTTTTCTTTTTCTGAAAAGAATTAGTTAGTGTTTTTCTAATTTAGATCCTGAGCTGAACTTTGATAAATTATAGTAAATTCTGTAGATGTCCAAAAATAATGAAACAAAATTTGTTAGGTTCATAAAAATGTGATCTATCTGTTGATGTAGTTAGTTTACATTTATCTGTGAGAATGTTAGGTTCATTAATTTATTTAGGAAATCTTAGCATTATTTAAATTAATATTTGTAGGAATTTTTGTGGCAAATTGGTAATAACTTTGACCATAAAATTTATATAGAGATTCATTGTATTATTATGTACTCACTGTAATTTTTGTAGCCTTAGAATATGTTGATAAATAGGGTAGCTAAGTACTCCTTGTTTTAGTATATATGAAATCGTAAATAAAGTAAGAAATGCATTTTTTGTTGCTAAGATAATACTTAATGTTTAGTACCTATTTAGTGGAAAGAAGGGGTAGCTTAGCATCTTAGTCATTAGAGTTAACTTAGTAGCTTGGTATATGTATTGTTATTTTAAGAGCTGCTGTTGCTAAAATGCTAAGTGTTGCATCATCATTGCATGCATATAGAGAACGCGTTGGTGGAGTTCGTGATCGCTGGAGAGCAAGAGTACGAGGAGGTGATTGAAGAGTACGAGGAGGAGATCCTCGTACAGGAGGAGGTCCCAGAGCCGCCACTGACTGACTGAGCTGACACCGCGCCTGCCCAAGGCAAGCCCCGAGGCATAACCCTTATTTTGAATAATCACTGAAAATATATATATGATGTGCATTTACGTTATAGGAGTTATATTGAAACTACATGCATAGATATATCTACCTATGAGTCCTAGCTTAGGTCGAGTAGCTGATATACTTAGATTTTTCGGTAGCGTGAGTAACTCGTCGTTACTCACAATAGGTGATTATTATTAATACTCTCATAAAAAAAATGGTGAAAGGAAAAATGGAGACCGGGCAGGGATATAGTACGAGTATTAGTGGTGGGTGTAAGAGGTTGTGTCCCGTGGCCAACGGGGCATAGCTTGGTTACATTGTTTTCCCTGTCCGTGTCGGTTAAGGACCCACCGTTGCATTGGGTTCTAGGCAAGTCACAGACTTATTATCCTGAGCACATACTTGTTTATGGGAGCAGGGAAGGCTCGTTGCTCTCTTATCATGGGTTCTGGCTCTTTCCGGACCGACTGATTGGAGGCGGGGATGGTGGAGGTCTAAGCACCGCAATGAGTCCAGGACTCATGTGTGGGGGCATGGAGTCCAAGTTTAGACGGGGACCTGGACCTCTAGATAGGAGAGTGGTGGGTTGGTCCTACTTGTGCCTGGGGTACAAGCGGGGCATGTGTTTCGGGGTACCCAGCTGGACACATTGATTCGTGAATCGTCGGGTAATCCGGTATGACTTGTCTACAGTCTTGCACCGTAGTAAGAACAGAAAGATGAAAGATGGTGAAATAGATTTGTTTGCTCAACTCTTGTTTGAAAGTAGAACAGGTGCTTACATAGAATGGCTAGATAATGAACTAATCATGACTGCTAATAAGAAACATACATAAGGATCCACTGCTAGTAATGTTTTTTGCGAAAAATAAACACAACAACCCATAAAGTTTATCATGGCCCCGTTCGGATGGTATGGTTTTGGAGGAATTTAGATGGTTTGGAGGAATTCTGGAGGAATCTGTGAGAGGAAAACACTGTTTTCGGATGAAAAAAGAAGCGGATCAAGCCGGGTTTAAGGGCACGCGAACGGGGCTCAGATCCTTTGGAGTCGGGAAATTATTCCCACTAGTCGGGTAAGTCTTGCTTATACATCGTGTACTCAGGGTTTATTTACCTCTGTTACAGGTGCAGTTTAAAGAGTAACTGTTGTGTGGTGGATTCTTCTGGTGGGCACAGACGGATCCTTGTATTATACCATTATATGTTTATTATAATTCCGCTGTTTAAATTCCGTACTCTAAACTTGGTACTGTAATAAGGTATTTCTAAGAACTTTGGTTGTATGAAATGGACTAAGTATTATAAACTCGTTCTCATTATTGGATCATGGAGGAAAAACGTTGATTTTTCGAGTTCTCCTTAGGGTGTGCTCGACGGAATCCGCCCGATGTAGCTTGCTTTCAGGGTGCTTAGTGTCTGATGGAAAGGAGCGCCTCTGAAAATGTGTTATTTTAGACGGTTCTGCCACACTTATCTCCACGACTCGATGTTATCTCCATTAACCCACGTTCCATTAGTTTAGAATCGATCAACTAGTCCATCAGGTTAAGCTAAACCTCATTTTGGATTTTGCCGCTAATAAACAACCCACTGACGGTGGCCCCAAATATCTTTACTGTCTCCTCCCGTTTTCCTATATAAACCCTTCCCCACGCCGTGCCACGAGAGAACAGTCTCCCATAGTCCCACTACACCACCACCAACGCGTTTTACGACGCGCCTCCGCGTTACAGGCTTACAGCTCGACAAGATGAGCGTCGAACAGTTGCATGCAAGGAGGCTGCTGTCGCACGCCGCCGCCGCGGCTGCCCCGTCGGCGGGACCGACGGCGGTGCAGGTGGAGGTGTCTGCAGCGCACACGCACGCGCACGCAGCAGCGCCCTTCAGCTCGCTGAACACGACGGTGATCACGGTGCTGTCGCTACTCCTGTGCGGCCTGGTGGTCGTACTCGTGGTGCACGCAGTCGTCCGGTGCGCGTTCCGCGTCACGCGCCGCGTGTGCTACGGCCAGGACGAGGAGCCCCCCGGCGGCGGTGGCGGGGATGCGTCGGCGGCGGCCTCCTCCTCCTGCCAGGCCGGGCCCAGGAGGAAGCGCGGGCCGCGAACCGGGCTGCCCCCGTGGATAGTCTACTCCCGCGAAGTGGAGCTCACCGGGTGTGGCGCGGCGGAATGCGCCATCTGCCTCACGGAGTTCCTGCAGGGTGACCGCGTGCGCGCGCTGCCGCACTGCAACCACGGCTTCCACGTGCGGTGCATCGACCGCTGGCTCGCCGCGCGGCAGACGTGTCCCACGTGCAGGCGGGCGCCGTTCGCCGCTAAACCCTCCCCCTCCCTGCCGGACAGCACGGAGGCGCCGGAGGTCCGGCAGCTTCAGGTGCACGTTGAAGCCGGGGCCCGGCAGCGGCCCGAGACTCAATAGCGTGAAACTATGAAGATTTAACTGTAATAGTCACAGTGCTTGTGAGCAGTGGACATTTTTTTTGTTTCTTGACGTTCTCTCACCTGTGATACTGCGGTCATGATCGCTTTTTTTGTACAAGACTGTAGAAGTGGCCCGTTCAGATGGTATGAGCTAAGAGTGGTACCTTCAATTGCAAATATATGTTGCAAATATAAGTACTAGCATAAGTATTACACATAAGTTTATTGCAAATTAGCACTTCCATAGCTGCATCACTTAGTCTTGGTTTTTTTTTTAGGGGAATCACTCAGTGGGTTTTACAGTTACGTCTTGGAACCGGGAGCTTGGAACTCGGAAGTGAGGTCCAACGCGTTCTGTTCTGCAAAGAACTTCTGCCCATCAAGCATGAAACGGCCCACTGCGAACATTCAGCCCATGAACTACTAGTACACGTTCACCAATTGAACCCAAAATTTCCTAAAAAAAGAAAACAATTGAACCCAAAAATCCCCTCCCCTCAAAAAAAAAACCAATTGAACCAAAAAGAAACTCCTCTAATAAGAACTTACAACAACTTTTTTTTGGAAAAAAGAGCTAATATATATGGCCTAGTAACTGTATGGCTGGTTCACTTTTTAGCTGCTGCAGCTATATTGTTGGTAGCAGTGGTTAATTGGGACGGATACATAGTAGCTCTCGAGTGTTATTCCTGTGATTACTAGAATGGCATGCATGCTGTCGTACGTCCAACATCTAGGTCCTCAAAGATTTACACAGACCAAGGCCGGAGCTGCCAGCCGGAGGCCCGGCGAGCAGCAAGGAGGGCGGCGGCGGGGCTTACACAGAAGAAGGTGCGCCTACCACCACAGGAGCCCCCACGTCGCACAGGATCAGGTGTGACCGGTGCGTCGCTCCAGTGCATGAAGGACAAAACCGCTCCACCAACCACGCTGCCACAGTGACAAGCTGCAGGGCTCGGACATGCCGCCCCTACCGAAGAACGCCACATAGCAAATACATGTACTGCCCCTGTGCCTCCCTTCGACTATAAAAGGGAGTGATTAGGGCCGCTTCTAGGCATGAGACACCCGTGCAAGCGACGCACAACACTCTGTAACACACACTCCATCACTGCAGGAGATCAACATCTCAAGCAACCAACACTGCAATTCACAGAGACCTAAGGTTAGCACCCCCTCTCGCCCAGCTTGTAAGCCCCTACTACAAGCACCTCGGTGCAAGGAATATAAGATCGCTCTCTCAGACTGGACGTAGGGCACCTATTGCCTGAACCAGTATAAACCTTGTGCCTCTTTGCATCATCATCCAAGATTAGGGACATGTAGTACACTTTCACTAGTCGGTTGACGGCCCACCGGTCCAAAACACCGATAGTTGGCGCGCTAGATAGGGGAACTACTGTGTGTCAGCTTAGTCATCCCATGAGATTCCGGATGGCAGACCCCGTACAACCACTACGTCTCGGCGCGATGATCTGGTTCGGGAGCCTAGAGTTCATGTCTCTACGATATGAGTATGACATGGTACTCCTCCCACCTAGAGCCCCATCGACCAACGACGACATCACGCACCAGCAGCCCAGGCGCAGGCAACGCCCGGGCCGCCGCTCTCGTCGCGCTCGCCAGGCACGACGAGGGGGCGGGACCACCCCGACACCGCACAAGTTCAGGGCAACGATCCGCGCTCCGCCAGTATCCCATACCCGACTGTTGGCGCAGAGTCTCTGGCTGGGGACCTGTCTAGCTTAAGCCTCGGCAAGGGAAAGACGTCGGTGGCGCGCAGCGACGCCCTGTCATCAAGCTCTGCCCCGCCACCTCCTGTGGAGCCAACTCTGGCGGAGCGGAGCCCGGCGACGACACCATCCCCGTACCCCTTCGGGTTGAGCAATGTTGCCGCCTACGCTTCCGCTCACGCAGAGCCCCCAGGACGCCACCAACGTTCTGCCCTCGACCTCATCGTCACAACCCCGACCCACACCCACGCTGACTCCTCGGAGGAGGACGAGGTATGGGCCAGAGCGGACTTCTCCGGGCTTCGTGACCCTAAAGTCATGCACCGCTTCATGGCCACGAGCGACTACTGCTTCGGCTACTCCGACTCCGATGACGAAGACACTTACGATCCTACTCGTAAGTGCTTCAACGTCAAGCTCGGGGTGCCGAGCGCGAGCGATGAGGACGAAGGGGCAGGCAATCGCTCCTCGCCCCATGTGGGGGCAGGCGCCGCCACACCTCCACATGTCGAGCCCCGGCAGCAAGGAACGAGAACCCCGCCCCCGAGGAACTTCGACGCCTAGACTTGGAGCAGCTCCGTGAGCTTCAGGCCAAGGTCGAACAAGACCGACTCCTTCTACAGCAGCTCTGAGACACTCTGGAGTGAGAGCAGCGGGGTTGCGGTGAGGGCGGAGCAGCCCGATGGAGGGCTCGCGATGTCAACCACCGCATCAACAACGACGAAGGGGCGAGCAACCCCCTATCTTCAATCGTGCTAGCCAGAACATCGCGGCAGCAGCGATGCTACTTCGGACAATGCCCGAGCCCTCTACCTCGGAGTTGAGATGGGTCCACGGCGAGCTCCGAGACCTCCTCGAGACCACCGCGGTACAGTAGGCCGAAAGTTTCGCCTCTCGATGGTGCGGGGGCGCCTCAGAACTACCCGCGGCACCGCCTTGACAGGATAGAGAGGCCTCGGTTCGTCCCGAGCCTGCTCGGGCACCGAAAGCCAACAAGGCCCTCTCGGTGCACGACCGCCTCAGCGACCAATGCGAGGCGCAAGGCGACCACGATGTGGTCAGCGGGCGACGGTGCCACGACAACGACGGGCCCACCCGAGGCTACCACCCGCACTGAGGTAGTCGCTACGACAGTGGGGAGGACCGTAATCCTTCTCCTGGGCCACCTAGCCCCCGAGTCTTCAGCAAGGCCATCCGCAGCGCCCACTTCTCGGCCCGGTTTCGACAACCGGCCAACCTCTCAAAGTACAGCGACGAGACCAACCCCGAGTTGTGGCTGGCCGACTACCGCCTGGCTTGTCAGCTAGGCGGCACGGACGATGACCTGCTCATCATCCGCAACCTCCCCTTGTTCCTGTCAGACTCGGCGCGAGCCTAGCTCGAACACCTCCCTCCCTTACAGATCAACAACTGGTGCGATTTGGTAAAGGTCTTCGTCGGGAATTTCTAGGGCACATACGTGCGCCCCGGGAACTCCTAGGACCTCAAGAGTTGTCGCCAGAGGCCGGACGAGTCTCTCTGAGACTTCATCCGATGCTTCTCCAAGCAATGCACCGAGTTGCCCAGCGTCGGCGACTCGGAAATTGTCCAGGCATTCCTCTCCGGCACCTCCTGCCGAGACCTGATCTGAGAATTAGGCCAGAACGTACCGACCACGGTGGCCACGCTCCTCGACATCGCCACCAACTTTGCCTCGGGCGAAGAGGCTATCGGGGCCATCTTTCCCAACAACGACGCCAAGGGGAAGCGGAGGGATGAGACCCCCGGGGAAAAGAAAAAGGGTCGCCAAGGGAAGCAGGAGGTCCTCGAGGCCAATCTCATCGCGGCCGTAGATCGCAAGAATCCCCGAGGCCCCGGGCTCTTCGACGACACGCTTAAGAATCCTTGCCCTTACCATCAGGGACCGGTGAAGCACACCCTCGAAGAGTGCGCCATGCTCCGGCGTTACTACGCCAAGCTCGGACTCCCCAACGATGACGCCAAGAAGAGGGGCGCAGGCGACAGGGACACCGACAAGGATGACGAGTTCCCCAACATGCACAATGCCTTCATGATCTTCAGCGGACCTTCAGCGTGCCTCACAGCGCGTTAGCGGAAGAAGGAACGCCGAGAGGTCTTCTCGGTTGAGGTGGCCACTCCCTAGTACCTCGACTGGTCTCAGGAGGCGATCACCTTCGATCGGGATGACCACCCTGATTATGTCCCAAACCCCAGGCAGTACCCACTCATCGTCGACTCGATCATCGGCAATACCTGGCTCACCAAGGTGCTGATGGACGGAGGCAGCGGCCTCAACATCCTCTACGCCAACACCCTAGAGCTCCTGGAGCTCAACCAGTCACGGCTCCGAGGCGATACCGCGCCCTTCCACGGCATCGTGCCGGGGAAGCGCACGCAACCCCTTAGGCGCATCGACTTGCCCGTCTGCTTTGGTACCCCCTCCAACTACCGCAAGGAGGTCCTTACCTTTGAGGTGGTTGGGTTCAAAGGGACCTATCACGCCATCCTAGGGCACCTGTGCTACGCCAAGTTCATGGCGATCCCCAACTACACCTACCTCAAGCTAAAGATGCCAGGCCCCAACGGCGTCATCACTGTCGAGTCCACGTACAAGCATGCATTCGACTGCGACGTCGAATGCATCGAGTACACCGAGGCTCTCGTGGAGGCTGAGACCCTCATCGTCAACCTCGACCGACTCGGTAGTGAGGCACCCGAATCCAAGCGTTGTGTCGGGACTTTCAAGCCTGCAGAGGCCTTCAAGCTCGTCCCGGTCGACCCCACCTGCTCCAACGACCGAGTGCTGAGGGTCAGCGCCACCCACGACAGCAAATAGGAAGCCGTGCTCGTTGACTTTCTCTGCGCGAACGTCGATATATTCACGTGGAGTCCCTCGGACATGCTGGGCATACCGAGGGAGGTCGCCGAGCATGCCTTGGACATCCGGGACGGCTCCAGACCAATGAAGCAGCGCCTGCGCCAATTCGACGAGGAGAAGCGTAGAGCCATCGATGAGGAGGCGCAGAAGCTTTTGGCGGCCGGATTCATCAAGGAAGTGTCCCATCCAGAGTGGTTAGCTAATCCTGTATTAGTTAAGATGAAAAATGGAAAGTGGAGGATGTGTGTAGACTACACCGGTTTGAATACAGCATGTCCAAAAGTTCCATTTCCATTACCTCGAATCGAACAAATCGTCGACTCCACTGCGGGATGCAAGACCCTATCTTTCCTTGATGCATATTCCGGTTACCATCAAATCAAGATG